TATATATATATATATATATATATATATATATATATTTACACAAAAACTAAATATCTATCCTACATTGCATACCAAAATTCGAATAAGAATTTGGTACTGCTTAACCAAAATATTTCTTCACCTGTTCAGACTGTTTTGCACCACTAAATTTAACAAATCTGCAGTTTGAGAACAGTAAAAAAGTCTGAGGTTGCTCTCAGCGTTTATTCTTCTAAAACGAAACAGTAATTGGCAGCAAAAATTTTCGGTTGTGTCAACCACTGCAACAATACGTCTCTTCATCCGCATTTTGGTATTCTAAACTGAAAAATGCAAGCTAACACTTGGAAAAAAACTAATTTTTTTACTTGTCCAAAATCCTAAAAAAAAAATAAAAACTCCTAGAGTTGAGCAACAACAAAAAACAAAAATAAAGTAACAATAATAATTTGGTTAGCTTAAAATGTTGTTTATGTCCCTTTTTTTATGCTTCTCTTCTTTTTAAGATAATGCAAAATAAGAAACAAAATAAAAAAATAGAGAAAAAAAAGAAACAAATAATTGATTAAAAAATATTTAAAAAACGAAAAAATACCAAGATAAAGAAGACGAAGACGAAGACGAGGACGAAGAAGGAGAAGGAGAAAAAGAATAATAAGGAGAAAGAGTAGAAAGAAAAACAAAAAAAAAGAACCAAATAGACGTCTGATAGTAATAATTTCTGTTCCAAAAGCACCCAATATCAAAAGCTTTTCTCCCCACCATTTTCTACCAATTCGTCTTCTGCATCCGTTTTCTTTCTCTTTTCCACTTTCTCATCTTCACTTCTTCCTTCGCTTCGCTCCCCTTCTCCTTCTCCGCCAATCATCCTTCCCCCTCCCTTCCCACTACCACCATAAACAACACTATCACCATCACCATCACCATCACTATCATCATCATTATCATCATCACCATCACCACCACTACTACCCATTATACCCTGTTCCTCCTTCCTTACCTCACAAATCTTCTTTTCATTTGCAACCATTGAATATTATTGTGCTAGACCGTAAGAAAAAAGATATTACTGGACAGCAATGAGGAATAAAAAAAGACTAAGACCAATCTCAAAAATACGTGTCAACAATAAAGCCAAAAATGGCAAAAGAAGGAAACGAAAGAAAAGCGGAGAAAAAGAGAAGAAAAAAGATGAAAGGAGGGGAAGAAGGAGAACGAAAAGTTTACGATTAATAAAAACAATAGATTCGCAGCTAATTTTGTTATTGCGTTCCGCAGTGGCCTTTAGTACCTGCATTTAAAAGATAGATACGCGTTGCCACACCAAAAGTTAAACATTCGAATACTCTCTACTCTATCAACCACTTTAGCTTTATTCTTCTTTTTTTTTTTTTTTTTTTT